GGATTTTTTTTATTTCACCTTTTTAATGCAATAAACTGACTGATTGCCGCCTGCATCTGTGTTTAATATGGTGGCATAAGTAGACTGGAAGTGCTTAATGTATCTGGGGTTTTGTTGTGTGGAGCTGTTTGCTACAGTGTTCATTGATAAAGTAGAAGCTGCTTGTTTTCCTGACTGTTGCTGTCAGTCCCATCACCTGGTAGCGGCAGCCCTGTCATTTCCACAGTGACACCAGCCCGGCCCCTGCTCAGGAACACACCTGCTTCACTCTTCAGACAGGCGGGTAAGACACACACTCACTCTCACTCTACAGGTATCAGAGGCATTTATATTTGACTAAATCTCCACTCTCTTCTCATTCATCTGTTTGTCTCAGTTACTCCCAGAGTTCCAGATGTTTCATCCATTTTGGCCCCAGGAGGCCGAACGCCTCGATACACACACACGCCCAGAAACGCACTCAGCAGTCTGGTAAGACACACACACTTCTCTATTGATGTATATATATTTTGTTAAATAAATGAAAACGTGAGTTCTTTGCACTTCCACTGTTTTCCATGACACAAAGAATGGTGTCTTTGTGTTAGTGATGTCGCAAACTTTCTTTAATGTGAAAATACAGACAGCAGAAAAAACATATTGATTAGTGTGGGTTTTGTTTAGGTAGTTAAGTTGTGATTGGTGGAAATGCTGTCGTCACTAACCCAAACAGGCCAGCTGCTGACCAGTTAGCTTGCTCAGATACTCCAGACCTTCAGTGTATCAGTTTTGTCAAACTCTGCTTGAACTTAATGATGTATTACTTACAATCATATTTATGTTGAACTCATTGCCAACTCCATAATGATGCTCTGTGTGTGTAGAATCTGGACGACAGTGATTGGACTAACAGCATGTACACGTCGCCTGTTTCGGGTCTGGAGAACACGAGTTTCTTCAGAGAAGATATGGGGAACCTCAGCTCAGCTCTCCTAAAGGAGGATGACCCAGGAGAGGCTGGTGAGCAAATCACCTGAGCATGCCCAGTTACTCTGCAGGTGTCTTGTTGTTCCCGCTAACGCTCCGGTTTTTGCTCCTTTAAGCCGCTGCCAGTCTTTTCCCAGAGTTCCTCGGGGCTTTTCTGAAACACTCTTCCTCTGCCGTGTTTGAGCTGCTGGATGATTATCAGGCGCTCTGCCAGGATAAGGTAGGCGAGTTTGCTTGATGTGGTGTGAAAGCTGTGCTGTGCTAATTTTAAATGCTCTCTTGTCCTCCGTCACATGCCTTAAGGCGGATGTGCTGCAGTCTGTGGTGCTCAGAGCGGGTCAGAATAGTAAAACAGCTGGCGTCCGTTGGCTGCTGCAGCAGGAGAACTGCACCTGGAGGCTCATCACCTCGCTCTACAGGTACCTAATTCACTGATTCACTTTCTGTAAGTAATTGGCTGTCTGCTCAACTTTCAACAATCAAATGTGTTCATGTAGAGATCGGGTCCAGTTGGCGCTGGAGGATGACCTCATGACAGACATGGTTGTGAGTAACGTATTCTGGATTGTTTTTGGCCTCTTTTAAAACTACAGAGCTCTAGCTTCAGTAAACAACACAATCACAGCAGGAATCTGAGTCTTCTGGAAGCTGCAATGATTACCTGTTTGTGTTTGTAGGTGCCCAGCGAGAGCGAGAAGGTTGTAGTGGAGCAGCTTTTCCAGAGAGATGCCGTCATACGACAGAGCCAGGTAGCTAACACACGCACAAAAGAAAGAGTTACAGTGATGAGGGTTTGCAGGTTGTCTAGAATAGAATAGAATAATCCTTTAATTGTCCCACAAGGGGAAATTTGGGTGTAACAGCAGCAAGAAAGACACATATACAAACAAGACACAGAACAGAAACCTACACAATTTATATCAAGGACAATGGTTACCAAAAACAGAGTACTGTACCGTTATGAAATTAAATAAATTTAAATGAAATTAAGAGGCAAACTCTGGTTAAAGTGTGAATCGATTGATAAAATAGTGCAAGTTACAGCGCTGATGTAAACCTCTGTTTGCTGGGAGCAGTTTTGATTGTACAGTTTGAGAGCTGCAGGCAGGAAGGACCTGCGGAAACGCTCCTTCGTGCATTGAGCATGCAGCAGTCTGTCACTGAAGGAGATCTGCAGTTCAGCAACATTTACATGCACGGGGTGGGAGACTCTGTCCATCACAGAAGTTATTTTGGCCAGAGTCCTTTTGTCTCCCACCACCTGCACTGGGTCCAGGTGCATCCCAGAACAGAGCTGGCC